ACGACCCCCAAACACTGAATTCAAGCCACAGTACACTGTGAAGACAGTGAAGCATGGTGGTGCAAGCATCATGATATGGGGATGTTTCTCATACTACGATGTTGGGGCCTATTTATCGCATACCAGGGATCATGAATCAGTTTGAATACATCAGAATACTTGAAGAGGTCATGCTGCCTTATGCTGAAGAGGAAATGCCCTTGAAATGGGTGTTCCAACAAGATAACGACCCCAAACACACCAGTAAACGTGCAACATCTTGGTTCCAGACCAACAAGATTGACGTTATGGAGTGGCCAGCCCAATCCCTGGATCTTAATCCAATAGAAAACTTGTGGGGTGACATCAAAAATGCAGTTTCTGAGGCAAAACCAAGAAATAGAGAAGAACTGTGGAATGTAGTCCAATCATCCTGGGCTGGAATACCTGTTCACAGGTGCCAGAAGTTGGGTGACTCCATGCAACACAGATGTACAGCAGTTCTCAGAAACAGTGCTTATACAACTAAATATTAATGAAGTGATTCAAAGGAAAGCAAAATATTCAAACTTTTTTCAGTTTATATAGTGAATGTTTGAGTTTGTAAAGAATACAAATACTGCTATTTATTTGAACCGTCTAATATTCACTTTTCTTCAATTTTTTTTAGAGGAACAACACAAATTTGATATATTTTTTCTTCCTGTTTTGATTTGGAATAGAATGTGTCGTGTTCCCAATACATTTGTGTGGATGGAAATAAAAGCTATTAGAAGGATTTTGAGCTTTATTCACTTTTTTCAACACACTGCTATTATTTTTGAACACAACTGTATGTGTGAGATTTTTTTCACACTTCTATAACAAAACTTTTGGTATTTGTGAGTTACAACAAAATGAAGCAGATATTAATTGCATACAGGATTCTCTTCTTTCAACTACTGAAAGCTGAACAGGTTTGGTTGGTTTGCTATTTAAGGATAGACTAGAGTTTTATGTATTGTGTGAACAAGGCCAAGTTGGGTTGAGTACTTGTTGCCCCTGTACTGGATTATCTGCCAAAATGGTTATAATATTTTGGAATAAAATAGACTTTTGTTTTAATGCTAGGTTTGAACACATGCGCTGTTCAGATTTTTCTGGATAAAAAAAAAAAAAAAAACCTTCCGACCACCACAAAACCACTCAGCAAGTAATTGTCCACACTGCTTGTGTAAATAATGTACCATTTATTTGGTATATAAGGGAATGTCTGACAGAGTACACCACATGCTCAACAGGTGAAGAGGAATGTGAATTGCCTCAGACTTGGACTCCTCCTCCTAAGCCATGCCCCTGATGCATTTCACCCTACCCATAGGATTTGGCCATAGAGGTGAACTCTATGTTTCACTGCTTTCTGGATCAAGCATAAGACTACACCCCTCTATTGCTGTGAGACATCTGATTTTTCTGTTTACCAGCAGAGCACCTTGAGCTGCAATTTAAGTGGTTACAGGGTATTGTGTATTTATTTGATACAGCAATATGAAAAAGACATAATATTATGACCCCTAAAAACAATTATATATCAATCAATATATTTAGGTCATCTAGCAGCCCTCCAAAATGTCAAAAGCAATTAAAGATGGTGTATAAAAAAAAAAACCCATATAAGAAAGTAATATGAAAAGCCCCAAAAGATGTTTTACAGGAGCACCTATCTGGGTAGAACCCGTATTCTAAAAATATATAATGCATAAAAACACCATTCTCCTAATACTAGTGATAGCTAAAAAAAAAAATACTGAGACACAAATATTTATTTAAATGCACATTAACCATCTATATACCAAACATGACTGTGAACATTCTTACCAACAAAGTTCAAACATGCAAGAAAGCTAACCAACAAAGACAATAAGAGCTAACATTGCAACAAAAAGTGGAAAAAGCATTGGCAAACTAATCCCATACTGGGGAGCCCATACCTATTAACACTACAATAAGTCTCTGCAGAATATCTTCACACATTTCCTGGTATGTAACCACTTTATCTGATAAAGTGTTTCTATAATATGAAAGGTGGGACAAACCAGCTGGTAACAATTAAGCAGCATAAAGAATGGGTCATAATATTTGTATCCTGCAAGAGCAAGTACTGAAAAATAGCGGTATGTTAGAGCCATGCATATTACACATATACAACTCCAGATTGAAGAAAATCTATAGTCATAATTTCATTTGTTACAGTTCTGTTCCCAATGGGACAAAGTACATGTAGTATTTTATCCCATGGGATTCGACCTGCTCCCATTCCCTTCCGTCATGGCTGATCTGTCAACTTCCTTAAAGGAGATGGCTAATTCATAAGTATCATAAACCTTTTCTACAATCCTTCCCCAAAACTCAAATTCTACCCCAAATTTCCAAAATAAATTCAAAGAAATGTCCACAATGCAAAGTCCACAAAATGTCCACACTATTCAATCTTCCAGATGTGATAAGTATCCAATTCGCCACTTCAATCCAAGATACCTCAAAAAAAAAATTAAACTAAATATAGTGCATTAGCTTTCAAATAATAATCTGTGATGTCATGCAAAAACACTCGTGACAAAACAAAACAAAAAAAAAATGATAATATATTTTGTATAAATAAAGCAAAAATTATAAATATATATATCTTAAATTATTCAATATTGTAAACAATGTGCGTGAGGTGAACCCACCTATATACCCTACACGTGAAGTTAATAAATTCACGAAACTCAACTTGTGATATAGTGAGTTAATCACTCCAACAGGTGAAATCACAGCAAATCCAAAACATACAACTAGTGATAAGGTGCACTAGTCCAAATTGGTGCCACCACTCTGCTAGGATAACATACTATTACCCGCTTGCAGCTTGCACAGGCGTTTCACACAATCCCAAATGCCAGATAGCTTTCCTCTTAAGGGAGTATGCAGTGGAATTCTCCCCACTCCTCACAGGGCAGAGAAGAGAAGACTCAGTGGAGTAAATGAATGAAAATTCAAAATGTAATATCTGCTTACATATAAAAGGATAAAACCGTCCATCCTATTCAAAAACCACATCAAAGATGGCCGCGCTGCTCCTTCCGGTTTTGCGTCTGACGTCACGTCTCTGACGCGTTTCGTCATTTCCGACTTCTTCTCAAGGGATTCATAAGTGCAGGTTATATTGGTTGTGATCATGTTCCATAGACAATCAACGGCAAGAGAAATGCAGAAGGAAGGGGGATGTTCCAGTTCCGGCATTCCTCTTGCCATTGTTTGCCTGTGGAAAGTGGTTACAGCCGATACAACCTGGAGCAATGAAACAACCATCTCCTTTAAAGCTGTTTTAGGATCGGAGGGGAGGGGGACAGGTCGGAATTCACAATTATGGTTAGGAAGCTCTTTACAGAACTGTAACAAAAAATTATAATGATAGATCTTTAAGCTGGAGTTTAGCTTTCATTGTTAGACAAGTCCATTGAAATCAGCTAGTGCATCCAACACTACCTTCTTCCCATATTGATAATGCTGCAGTCCAAAGGTGCCTCCATTGCTTCTCCAGTAGAGTGGAGACACGTGTTATTGTCCGAATCACCCGGTGAAATGGATTTATTACTGCTTTAAGTCCAATAGGTGTTGATTCAGCTGGCTCTAACATACTGGTATCTTTCAGTGCGTGCTCTTTCAGGATACAAATATTATGACCCATTCTTTATGCTACTTTTTCTTTATCAGCTGGTTTGTCCTCTTGCAGATGTTCCTTTTGGTTTGTTGTTGTTTGCAGGAATCTATCCTCTAACTAAACAGCAATTTTATAACAAAATAACTTTAAAACGATACCAGAACATGTTATCCTCCTTAATATTTTCTTAATTTCCCATCCCCCCTGTTCCTGATTTTAATGAACCCTGGAGATTGTTTACCACAGAGCATTTCAGAGGTCCAGGATTAATGAGTCTGTCCTTGCATACCAATAAACATGCTAGAAAATGACATTAACTTCTCATAATGTCCTGAAAAAACTTTTAAAACAACATAGTCCAACTGGCCAGCACGCAGCTTCCTCGCTAATAATTATCTTTGTTTTTGTCGTTTGTTTTACTTTACTCAAAGCACTTTTCCAGAAGATGTTCAGCAAATGATTACCATATGTGTCCTTAATACAGAAATAGTGAGGGTAATTGGTCGAGGAACTCACAAAAGGCCAAACTGGGCCAGTTACGAAAGTATGCAGTCTTTTCTTTTTATATATGTTTTAGTGTAGTGCCCAATTAACTATTTCTCTGCTGTGTGGTTTAAAACTACAGTTTGTAGAATACTTTTTTTGACCGTGTAAGGGTTAATACTTGTAAAGCTGACAATAAACAGGACACAGTTGTCACAAGACCAGACCGCAATATGATTATTTTGTAGAATGATTGATTATGTTTCAAGGATTGATTTTGTTTCAATATAACATGCATGTATATGTACTGAGCAGCCACCCTCTCTTTGACAATATCATGGAAGAACTATGGGAGAAAGGGGACAGATTTTACAGATTCATTTAATCACTTTCCCTCCAGAGGATTTACCCCCCTTCCTGATCAGGCCATTTTTTTGCAATATGGTGCTGCGTTACTTTAACTGACAATTGCACGGTCATGCAACACTGTACATAAATGAGATTTATGTCCTTTTTTCCCACAAATAGAGCTTTCTTTCAGTGGTATTTAATCACCTCTGTGTTTTTTATTTTTTGCGCTATAAACACAAAAAGACCAACAATTTTGAAAAAAAAACCCAAAACCATACTTTTGACTTTTTGCTATAAAACATATCCAATAGAAAAAATGTTTTAAAAAATCGAATTTCTTAATAAATTTAGGCCAAAATGCATTCTGCTACATGTGTTTTCTAAAAAAAATACCAGTACGTGTAAATCAGTTGATTTGCGTGAACTTATAGCATCTCCAAATGGTGGTATAAATACTGGAATTTTTCTTTTTTAATACTAGTAATGGCGGCGATCAGCGACTTATAGTGTGACTGCGGTGAGCATTCTGACACTGGGTGGGAACTAACTGCCACTGACATCCCAATGACACTAATACAGTGAACAGTGCTAATAAAAAGCACTGACACTGTACTAATGGCACTGGGCAGGAAGGGGTTAACATCTGGGGTGATCAAAGGGTTAACTGTGTGCTGTTTAACATTATGTGCGGTGTGTGTTTTACTATGGAGACATGCTGCTTTGTATTTCTTTGCTGTGGAGAGAAATACAAAGCAGCATGCCTTTTCTGGCAGGAGAGAGACCTGTGTTGTTTACACACAGGTCTCTCCCCTGTCAGCTTTACACGGCGATCGCCGGGTGCTGGTGGGGAATCTCTGTCCGGGACCCGGTGATTGACATCCCTAGCCGCCAATGGCGGTGTGGGTAGGGCAGGGCACGCATATGCTCCCTACCTGGAAATGCAAATCACGTATATATACACGTAATTTTCCGCAGCCCTGCTGCTCTGTAGCAGTATTTCTACTATAGGGCAGCAGGAAAGCGGTTAATAGAGTTGAGTACTGTCTGTGATACTTTTTTTCTTATTTGCACTAACAGTTACATTTTCAGGAAAATCTTTTCTGGTTTTCCCTTTTCTTGGTCAAAGCAGTCCTCACAGTAGTGAGAATAGTCAAACTATAATTGAAATTATTTAAATGAAACTGGCTGTACACATGTAGATTTCTTGTAGCTAGTGCTCTAGGGCTAAATGAAAGAAATCTGTTGATTTCTCCATCCATGATAGTGCCGATGGAGGGATCCCCACTGCCAGCTATTGTATTTAGCAGTCATTAATCCATTGGCTACTGAATACCCAGGATGATGCTTGCATCTGATTGGAAACAGGTGCTATTTGGGCAAAACATTTCTGACCTCTTTTGACAAAAGTCAATCAAAAGATTAACTTTTGTCAAGTGTAGGGGTGCATACAAGGCCACCCAAAGCTCACATTTTGGTCGATTCAGCAGGAATCAGCTGAAGTTTAAACCACCACGTATGGCCATCTTAATTCCAAATAGCTTAGTACATAAATGAGTATGGTTTGATTTTCCAAAGAACCCCTACACAGCCAGGTCCTTAATCTCTACTGAAGCAGCAGTGGTCCAAAACAGTGATTCTGCATAAAAAAGCAACAGCACACAGATAAGCCATCCCCTGCAACACTTTCCTGTCAGCATGTCCAGTGCCTCTACAAGAGTGCATGCAACAGTGCCTATTTGGCTCAGAGGGCTGTGCCTTCCTCCCCATCTGTGAATGTTGCTGTAGAGGGGATTACAGGAAATGACTATGAAGACAAATGTAGGCATTTTCAGTAGTTGCTATTTAAAAATAATATTTCATGATTTATATAAACTATACTAACTAAGCTTTTTATATCTGCTTGGCGTTCTTCTCTAATTAAGTGTTCTTGCATGGCAAGACCACTTACTGCTATCTCACATATATATTCTTATTATAGCCAAATTTACCACCCTAACTCCTCCCACAGTTTTTACACTACATAGACAGTAATATACCGAAACGTGCAGATTGTTCCCGATTGGTGTGCTATTACTTTGTGGAACGTTTCGCCAAATGGTTCACAAAATATCGGCGTTTTTGTGGTGAAAAATTGGTCCCATAGGAATGAATGGCGGAATGTTCAAAACTAGAGTGTGAGCTGACAAAAGCTAGAGTGTCAGGGACCACGGCTCCAGGGTCCGCGATCGCGGCTCCGTCCCTCGCGCATGCGCAGTGGCGGCGGCTCGCGCCGGGACACGGGCACTAGGTCCCGGCGAGCCGCGGATGACAGGACGCCGCGCATGTGCAGTAGGAGCCGCGGGCGCGCCTCAGGCGTCCAATGACAGCCGGGGGCGCGTCCTAGCCGGCCAATGACAGTGCAGGGCGCACTATTTAAAGATGCCCTGCACTGTCACAGATTGCCGCAAGGTCTTCTGTGATCCTGAGTTCCTGCACCTATCCTGTGACCCTGATTGACCCTGACTATTCTGCCTGCTCCTGCGTTTGACCCGGATTGTCCTGACTACTCTGCCTGCTCCTGCGTTTTGACCCGGATTGTCCTGACTATTCTGCCTGCCCCTGCGTTTGACCCGGATTGCCCTGACCATTCTACGGATTGACTTCCCCGCTGACCCTGCGTGTGACCCGACTACTCTCGCCTACCGATTCTGTACCCCGCTTACCCCCACGGGCCCCACAATCCGTTACTACCCTGCTGGGGCCGCCATCCTCTTCATATCTGGCTCTCCCGGTACCTGTCCCCAAGGGTCTCCTCAGCCACTGGCGGGCCTGCTCGGAGGTCGTGACCTGGCCCGAGACTGTTTCAAGTCCATCCCCACCATCAGGGGCTCTGGTGAAAGCACAGCCCGGGCTTAGACCCCACGCTCTGAGTAGGTCTGTCAGTTGGCAGCCTGAGGCACCACCTGGCGGATCATAACAGTACCTTGCGGCCATGACAGAGCCAGGAAGTGGACCGGCGTCCCTAGAGGATATTTGTCAGCACCTGGCCACCTTGACCCAGGCTTTTCAGAACTTCCACAGTTGCTGCGCCCGACTGGAGGACCGCATGGAGTCAATAGCCCCCCTGACTCCCCCTGCTCAGAGTCCTCCACCTGCAGGACCTCCCGCTAACCCGGTATCCGGAGCGGTTGCCACGGTTCCGTGGTGATCGGAGCCGCTTCCGGGCCTTCCGGAACGCCTGCACCCTATACTTTGACTTACAACCCCGCACGTTCACCACTGAGACCGTCAAGGTAGGGTTTATAGTCTCCCTCCTTCAGGATGAGAGCCCCAGGATTGGGCTCACCGTCTGATGGAGAAGCACGACCCCCATCTTGAATCCGTGACCGAATTCTTTCGGGCCATGGCCGTCTTGTATGACGACCCCCAGCGAGCTGCTTCCGCTGAAGCAACTCTATACTCCCTGCGGCAGGGCCGCCGGACAGCCGAAGAATACGCGTCCGATTTTAGGCGTTGCATGGGCGACACCAGATGGAACGATGCGGCCTTATGCCACCAGTTCCGCATCGGGCTGTCTGAGCCTCTCAAGGACGAACTAGCGCGAGTAGGCCTACCCTGACTCCCTGGAAAAACTGATTGAGTTGGCCATTCAAATCGACCGTAGACTAAGGGAACGTCGGCTGGAAAGGAGCGGTCAGGGTCAAAGGGTGGCATGGATTCCTTCCAGGGATACAGCTCCAACCCCAGGGAACCATCCGCGAAGCACGGAAACAGGGGACAACCCGGAACCCATGCAGCTGGGATTGGCCCGTTCTCACTTATCGGTCGAGGAACGTCAAAGGAGACTATCACAGAACCTATGTCTGTACTGCGGGGAAGCTGGTCATCAGGTGCGCTCCTGTCCTGCTAAAATGAGTAAGTCCACGCCCGTTTCTTTTTCTCTACCCGCAGGAAGGGATGATCTGTCGAGTTACCTGGCCATTCCTGTGTCTTTACAGCTCCCCGGAGGAACATTGTCGGTGACCGCAATCGTTGACTCAGGAGCCTGTAGTTGCTTCATCGATCTGACTTTTGCCTACCGGCAAAAAATCCCTCTCCAGACCAAAGAAAGGGGGTTCAACATCTTCTTGGCAGATGGGTCTCGTATAAAATCAGGGGTGGTGGACCAGGAGACACCACCCATTTTCACCACAATGGCAGACCATCACCAGGAGTTCCTCCGTTTGGATGCCATCGCATCCCCCCTTTTTCCAGTCATTCTGGGCCTCCCTTGGCTGAGGGCCCATAACCCCCAGATTGACTGGGAAAAGGGAACAGTTCAATTTTGCTCACCCTACTGTTTAAGTCACTGCCACGTCACAGGATCCGTGGTCCCCCCCGGTTCCTCCTGTGCTTGGATGGTGACACCCGATCTTTCCCAGGTTATTCCCCCGGCCTACCATGACTTCTTAGACGTCTTTAGTAAGCGAGGAGCTGACGTTCTCCCTCCGCACCGTTCCTACGACTGCCCCATAGACCTCCTACCCGGATCTGAAATCTCTCTTTCGGCCGTATCTTTCCCTTGTCCGAAGCAGAATCAGGAGTACTGAGGGAATACATTGATGAGAACCTTCGGAAGGGATTTATTCGTCCATCCACATCCCCAGCCGGGGCCGGGTTATTCTTCGTAGAGAAGAAGGACAAGTCGTTACGGCCCTGCATAGACTACCGTGACCTGAACAAAATAACGGTAAAGAATCGTTATCCTTTACCCCTAGTCCCCGAGCTACTCCAGAGATTGAGATCGGCAACGATATTCACTAAATTAGACCTGCGGGGGGCCTATAACCTTGTCCGTATCAGGGAGGGGGATGAGTGGAAGACGGCGTTCCGTACGAGATTCGGTCACTACGAGTACTTGGTGATGCCGTTCGGGCTCTGTAATGCACCGGCGACCTTTCAGCACTTTATCAATGATGTTTTTCGTGACCTTCTTGATATTTTTGTGGTGGTTTATTTGGATGACATCTTAAATTTTTTCCCCCTTCACTGGAGGTTCATCGGGGTCATGTGATACGGGTATTAGAACGGTTGCGTCAACACGGCTATACGCAAAGGCAGAAAAGTGCTGTTTCGAACAGCACAAAACCACATTCTTGGGACTGGTTCTCTCTTCCCGCGGGGGTCGCGATGGATCCCCAGAAAGTCACGGCGATCTTAGATTGGCCAATACCCGCCGACAAAAAGGGGGTACAGCGTTTCATCGGTTTTTCCAATTTTTACAGGAAGTTTATTAGGAACTTTCTCCGGTCTGGTCTCCCCGATCACGCAACTGACGAAACAAGGGGTCCGCTTTAAGTGGACTCCCGAAGCGCAGACAGCCTTCGAAAAACTCAAAGAATTGTTCACCTCTGCTCCCATTCTCTGCCATCCAGATGCTTCTCTCTCCCATATGTGTTGGAAGTGGACGCCTCCGAAAATGCTGTAGGGGCGGTTTTGTCCAAAGGAATGGTACCAAGGAACTTCTGCACCCTGTGGCGTTCTTCTCCAGGAAGTTGACTCCAGCGGAACGCAACTACGACATTGGAGATCGGGAGCTCCTGGCCATTAAAACTGCTCTAGAAGAATGGAGGTATTTACTGGAAGGAGCCACACACCCCAATCCTAATATTCACAGATCACAAAAACCTCGAATATTTGAGAACGGCAAAACGACTGAGACCTCGCCAAGCGAGATGGGCGCTTTTCTTCTCTCGATTCTCATTCCATATAACGTACCCGACCCGGTACTAAGAACACTAAGCCAGACGCTCTGTCCCCTGCATGTTTGAGGATCCCGACGACGCTGTGCTACCTGACACCATCTTACCTTCTGGGAGTTTCCTCGCTCTACAAACGGAACTTCGCTCTCGAC